TGGAAATGAAAATTGAACCGTATTCCAGCATTAGAAAATCAGCTTAAAATGCTGAAAATTATGAATTTTTGTTTGTTAAATATCATGCATTGTTAACTAACTTTGCCTCAACTTGAGGCATTGTATGTCAGCACTGGTAAATAAATTTACTATTCTCTGGGTTTCAATGATACACATTTTAAATCTGTTAATGAAATTGCTTGTTTGTAAACATGGACTGAGAATACATGATTTTTTCAATTTTTTTTATTCTTTCAAAAATCACGAAATTTAAACTTAATTTTTACAGTGATGGTGAGAGTTAGAAGTTTGAAATTAAGCCTTCAAAAACAATGTTATGTTGATATATTATACATAAGGGGTGGATTTTGATGACCTTAAGGCATTGCTAAAAGCAATCACTGAAATGCTTTAAAAATTCCCTAAAAACAAAGAAAAAATATTGATCAAAACTACTTCAGATGAACAACTCAAGCTGTTGGATATGCTGCTGATGTAATTGAGGCTTCTTCCTTTTGTTCAAGTGAACTCAGCTTGCAAACTTTGGGTTTGGACTTCTTTAAAAGAAAACCTCTGCCTTTATTTCTCATAAAATTGGCCCAACTGTCAATGGCCCGATAAACATCACAGGAAACCTGTATTACATGGTTCTCACAATGGCTGACATTACAATATATGAGTGAAGAAAAAGAATATTCTACTTAGGAATTCTGTGGTGTAAATATTGTTTGAAGCATGTACCATTAAAATGACATTAAAATTAATGAAATAAGTGAAAAATGCAGAATAGTGAAATAAAAAGTAAAAAAAGACTTATTGGTTGAAATCGATGAAAAATGCAAAAAAAATTACAAATAAAAATGGGTCATTTTGTTTCATCATAACATAAAATGAATTTGTATTCTAAACAGCATTGTTCTAAAGTGAAAAGAAAAAAAATTATATTTCATTAAAATCCACCCCCTAATTATGAGCTAAATTTCTATATTCTTTCTTGAACATATACTGCGTTGTACTGAGTACAGATCGTTACTTTTAAGCACATTGTGAGGATTAATGGATAATGAAATTATCTTTTTTAAAAACTTCAGAACATACTCTTTCTAAAGAAATAGATTTGAAATAATTTATAGAAACATTTTTGCAAAAGAAGGTTAAAAATACTGAATTTAGTGTTTTTTGTCAAAATTATCAATTTGAAACTGATTTTATGAAGTAATTGTAAGAACTATGAGATAATAATTGTGCAAGAAACAATGAAATGTTGATATGTTACAAGTAGATGTCCGAATTTTAGGTACAAAAAGTGATAATTTAGGCACCTAAAAAGGTTAAAAAATAATGAACTTCGGCACTACACACTGTAGTAATGCATTCTAATTTCTCCAGGTCCATCTCTGCATGGAGATATAAGTTGTATCCTTTCAGTCTTGGAAAACTTCTGTTCTGCTCCGGTTTCACACACCTCTGCTGAAATTATCTCTTTATCATTGTGTAGTATTAATGTGAGTAATTTCAATGCTATGATTCTCTACTAATAATACCGTTTCTTTGGAGGCTTACAATATAATCAACTTACACCACAAAATCACTTACATATTTTGTCAACAAACATTCATAAAAAAAGAGCAAAAACAGATTGTAACGATTACAGAGATGTGACATGCCTACAACCATCCTAAAATTATTTGCCAGCATTATGTAGAATAGAATGAATACAGAAAGAAGTTCATGAGTGAAGAAATATTTGGCTTCAGTAAATCCAGAACCCCGAAGGCAGCTATCTTCCGAGTACAAAGTATATGAGTCAAGAAAAATAAAAGGTACATGCCAACATTTTTGTAATAAATAGATTTTGTTGGTTGTGATATGATTAATGGGTTAAAAATGTCATTGAAAATCATGGGGGGAAAACAAAGAATACTAATTGTAAAATAAATACAAACTTTAGACAGAGTCAAAAATCCATAAAAATTAACAATAGGATTCTTTTAAAGCCACTTACTACAAGCAGGACTATGCAAGACGAATGGCCTATTAACCAGCCTTCACAACATAGTATCCTAATAGTTTTATATAAAAGTGGAAGAAGGAAAATTAAGAAAAGGTATGTGCGTCAATAAAAAAACAAACAATACCAATAATCTTGTGCGCAGAAATACAAACAATCTTGAAATATCTTTCAGTGAGAGGATGAACAGTGCATTGCAGTCTACGAATTAAGCAAAATAGTAAAGACCATGAAAAATTCCATGAAGAAAACCAATGCAAAGACCTTCCAAGGAAAGGAGCTAAGATGATTGAAAGTAGTCATTGAAAGACAAATAACAGAACAAGATTCAACATCCTGATATTTAAGCAATAACAGTGTATACAATTTTAAAGGACCTGAAACAGAAAATTTTAGAATATATGCGGTCATCAAAAGAATTTTGGACAAGAGATCATACAGAAAATTGGATTTAGATTCTACAATACAGCAGCGAAGCCAATTTCAAAATCCCAGCAAAATTAACAACCAATTAACTTGATTGTAAGATATGAATTCATTTTTTTGTTTTTCCTATTTAATTGCTGAATACCATAAAACGAAATTACATGGCTTGTAAATGTCGATCCTGAAATAGAGGAATAACCAAAGACTAAAAAAAGTGCAAACAAGGTCCTAAAACATCTTGATTATGGGAAAGTGAATTGTCAGAGAAAATATCATAAAGAAAAGATTTATGGAAATGCAGTGTGGATCTAATGCCATATTCTCCTTAAAGCCAATTTTTTTATTGTACTAAATTCATTCATATCAGTTTATTAGTATTTATTGATCACATGGTTCCAAAGAAGAATTCTTAATTTGAAAATGCATTTTTTAATTTCATAATAACAATAAAAAAATATTTGGGGAGTAAGCTTAAATCCCTCCCCCTGAAAACTGCTCCTGCACTATGTTCATGGATAAATTTAAAAAGTTTCGGAGGAAATGGCAGGAGGATTTTGAAAGAATGAGTGAAGGAAGGGTGTTCTACAATAGCAAAACAGGTGACAGAGGTAGGTAGGCCGAGGCAGAAATAGACCAGGCAGAAATACAAGAAGATTAATAATACAATTTTCAGGACTATTGTTTAACCAAAAACTAGCCTCAGGCCTTTCTTCTTACTGTAAGCCTCTACAAGATGATGATGATCGTTTTTCCTTCTAGAACATAGACCCATAACTTAGAAATTTGACCAAGATTCGTCTCATTGGCCATTGAAGGGTATTTGACAACATACGACTGATATGACGCCACAAGAGACACCACCTCTGCCACTGTCATCCAGAAATTTTAATACCAACTTGAAGGTCTGGTCCTCAATAGAAGACTATTTGTTTGTTTTTTTATGCATTATTCCCATCATTACCTAACAGGCATGCAGACATTATAAGGGAACAGAAGTAGTCTTCTTCCAAAGTACTACAGCCCAATGTGTGCGGAGGCTGCATTCATGATCTGCCTCCATTCCTCTCCTTCTCCCACCATCTGATAATTTTCATCTTCTGCAGGTCATCAACAACATTCTGGATCCAACTTTTCTTGCGTCTACCACTTTTTGTAATAGGTACACAAAATGTTATTTTTGTATGCTTAGACATTCTTTCCATTCCCATTCTTTGTACAAGTCCTTGTCAAGAAATTCTGTGAGGCTTTACGAATCAAACTTTATCTTCTTTTTCTGGTATGTTCTTTATTTCATATTCATCTTGGGATTTTCCTGTCAAATATACATAAAGTCTTAGCTTCCCTGTTGATTAGGAACCATTTTCTGCTCTGTAAGTTTTTATTGGTTGCATTAAGGTTTTATATAACTTGATTTTTGTTTTCCTAGTTAAAAGAGCAGATTTTAGTAGTGGTATATTCCCATAATAAGTTTTATTACACTTCATCATACTTTTGTTGATATCTTCGCATATATTATTTGCATCATTAATATTCACCCCAAAATATGGTAAATCACTGACTTCTTCAAAGCTCTAACCGTTTATCTCTATTGCGTGTTCTGCTTCTAATTTCTGACAACAACTTTTCAAATATTTGGTGTTTTGTCATTAATTTGATGGCATATAACTTTACTATTTATTTCCAGATGTTTTCAAATTTCTTCAGGTCTGTTTATTTCTTGCTATTAAAGCTATATCATCATCATATTCTAGACATTGTTTTGATTTATAGAGGATATTGCCCCTAATATTTAGTGTCTTCACAGCACTGTAATGTTATGCTATGTTGAATAGTGAAGCTGATTGCAAATCACCTTGTTTAACACGATGTTATTTTAAAGGATCTCCATTCTTCTTCTTCATCTTCTTCTTCTTCAACTTTGTTCTTCTATAATTAAAATTTCCGAGATATTAACAAAT